GTGCACGCCTGATCCTTAGGTGGTGTCTGTAGTTTGACCGAGTCGGCGTCGGATGATGGATGGGTATTGCTCAGCGAGGTTAGTTCATTTGATGTGTAGTATCTGTAAGTCGTGATCTGAGGCACATAAGGTAGATCTGTGCAGGGAAGGATGGGCGATAGCGAACTCGATGCTCACCACGGACCCAGGCCTATTATACCACGCACACATCGGACCTCCAAGTCAACTGTGTCGCACCTTGTCAGACATGTTGGAGGCGATCGCTAGTTGAAAGGACTCAGTCTGGAGGAATGTACCACCTGACACAATACGAGTAATAAGATAACCCGGATCTGTTCACTACTACCATCACTGGGCCACCGGAATTATTGTCCGGAAGAACTCATGGTTAGTGGATGGTCGTAGATGCCTTACCGTGGAGGAAGTCACTCAATGACGCTGTAATTGCGCAGCTGGCAGCACCTAGACTCGTACGTCGACGACCAGTGTTGAAGCGTTATGAGTAGCACTGCGAACATTGTGACGGTTTGCGCGATTCACCACGACGCATATACCACTCACCACACATCACCACCCCACCCACCATGCACCCCAACCGACCACCACTCACCACCGTAACCACCACCATCCACCACCATCATCTATCACCGACCACCAGCACCACCGAGACGAGTCAAGCACCACGACCACCATACCGACCACACCACACCACCATCACAACACCTCCCACACCACCACCACCCGACTGCACCACCACCGACGGCACCGACCACGTCACCACATGCACACCACTCACTCACGCATCACCGTTACCACCACCCACCGCCTCACCGACTCGACCGACGCACCACCTACCACCGAGCCCACCCCACCACCACCTACCCCACCACCACCACTCACCACCGAATTGCACTAGACTAGTTAAGATGAGTGTCCTCCCCCGTGGTGGGGGTACACCACCGGCACGGTGCTCTGGCGGATTGGTAGACCGCTCACTGGGTCATGCTACGCACAGCTGGAATAGAGTTGTGGCTTAGATTGTAGTTCAATCATAGGAGGGGCGGGAATTTTTCGTCCTTGTGTGTTCACACTCATATAGAGAAGATAGAAAGATAGGGTGTAGGATGGTAACAAAGAAGAAAGAAGAGAAGAAGAAGAAGAAGAAGAAGAAGAAGAAGAATGGGAGAGCAAGAATATGAGAGAGGATATGGAGAGGGAGGGAGGGGGGGGGGTGAGGAGGGAGGAAGGAGGAAGGAGAGAGGGAGGAGGGAAGGAGGGAGAGGGGGGGTGGGGAGGATATGAGAGAGAAGAGAGAGAAATAGATGAGATAGATAAACAGATAGATAGAGAGAGAGAGAGAGAGAACGAGATAGAGACAAAGAAAGGAGAATGAGCCAAAAGACAAAGAGAAAAAAAGAGAGAGACTGAGGAAAAATGAGTAAAGAAACAAAAGTAAGAGACTGAAAAAAACAATAACGTGGAGAGAATGAAGAAAGAGACAAAGACGAGAGAATGAGAAAACAAAAAACAATAAGGCGAGGGAGAATAAAAAGTCACAAGAGAAAACAAGAGAAAGAGAAAAGGAACAACGAACAAGAAAGAACAAGAGAACAGAACAAAAAAAACAAAAACAAAAAGAAGCGAAACGGCGTCAAGAAAGAGGGGAATAGGTAAGAGATAAAATGAATCAGACTAAGAGAGAAAAAAGAGGCAAAAAATTCGTCGGTTATATAAGCCAAAGGGAGATGCACTTTGGGCTTCTCAACTTGACCTTGAGACCAGGGTGTGGTAGTAACCTGGGAGGAGGAGGAAGAGGAGGAGGAGGAGGAGGAAGAGGAAAGATGAGGAGGGAAGAGGAGGAGGAGGAGGAGAGGAGGAAGAGGAAGGAGGAGGAGGAGGAGGAGACGAGGGGGACGGGAAGCGGGAGGGGGAGGAGAGGAGGAGGAGGAGGAGGAGAAGAGAGAAGGAGGAGAGGGAGGACGAGGGGGACGGAAGCGGGAAGGACGAGGAGGAGGAAGAGGAGGAAGGGAGGAGGAGAAGGGGAGAAGGAGAAAGGAGGAAGAGGAGGAGGAGAGGAGGAGGGGTAGGAAGGGCGCGGGTGAGGGTGAGGGTAGGTGATAGGGAGGAGGAGGAGAGAGGGAGAAGGAAGGAGGGGAGGAGGAGAAGGAGGACGGAGGAGGAGGAGGAGGAGGAGGAGGAGGAGGAGAGGAGGAGGGGAGGAGGAGGAGGAGGGAGGAGGAGAGGGGGAGGAGGGAGATGAGGGAGAGGGGAGGGGAGAGGGAGGGGAGTAGGGGAGAGAGGAGGAGAGAGAGGAGGAGAAGAAGAGAGAGGAGAGAGAAGAGGGCGAGAAGGAGGAGGAGGGAGGAGGGGGATGGGAGGAGGAAGAGGAGAACGAAGAGGAGAAAGAGGAGGAGAGGGAGGAGGAGGGGGAGTGGGAGGAGGAGGGGGAGGTGGGAAGGAGGAGGAGGAGAGGGAGGGAGGAGAAGGGAGGAGGGGAGGAGGAGGAGAGAGGGAGAGGGGGGAGGAGGAGAAGGAGGGAAGAGGAGGAACGAGGGGACGGGAAGCGGGAGGGAGAGAGGAAGAGGGAGGAGGGGAGAAGGAGGAGGAGGAGAAGGAGGAGGAGAGGGAGGAGGAGGGGGACGGAAGTGGGAGGAGGAGAGGGAGGAGGAGAAGGAGGAGAGAGGAGAAGGAGTAAGAGGAGAGGAGGAGGAGGAGGAGGAGAGGGGGAGAAGGAGTAGGAAGGGCGAGGGTGAGGGTGAGGGTAAGGGTGATAGGAGAGAGGGGAGGAGGGAGGAGGAGGAGGGAAAGGGGAGGAGGAGGAGGAGGAGAAGGGGAGGAGGGAGGAGGAGGAGAAGGGAGGAGGAGAGAGGAGGGGAGGGAGGAGGAGGAGAAGAGGGGGAGAAGGGGAGGAGGGAGGAGGAGAGGAGAAAGAGGAGAGGGAGGAGGAGAGGGCGGAGGGAGGAGAGGGGAGGGGAGGAGTAGGAGGAGGAGGAAGAGGAGGAGGGGGAGGAGGAGGGAGGGGGAGGAGGAGGAGAGGAGGAGGAGGAGAGAGAGGGAGGAGGAGAGGAGAGGAGGAGGAGGAGGAGGAGGAGGAGGAGGAGGAGAGGAGGAGGGAGGAGGAGGAGGAGTGGGAGGAGGAGAAGGCGGAGAAGGAGAAGGAGAAGGAGAAAGAGAAGGAGGAGAGACAGAGACAGAGACGGAGGCAGAGACAGACAGAGACAGAGAAAAGAGAGAGACGAAAGAGACGACAGCGAAAGAAAAAATACAGACGCAAATAACCAAAAACCAAACCAAAACAAAGAAACATGCCCGGGCGTTGAATCAGTCGCTACTAGATGGCAGCACACTCCCAACTTCCCCGTTTTCTTCCGTCCTCTTCATGGCAGCGTATTTTCCAGAATTTTCTGGGATTTTTTTTAAACTTCCACCTTGACTGGAATTTTCCGAAGAATCTCTTATCTAGTTATTTATTTTTTTTCTGATCATTCGTCGCGTGCCTCGAGAGCCGATTGAATAAAAAAGAGAATAAGATATACGGTACGAACAAATAGATAAACAAGTAAAAAAAAAAAAAAATATATATATATATACATATGTGTATATATAAAAATTAATAAAACACACACACACACACACACACACACACACACATATATATATATGTATGCATATATATACATATTTACATATGCATATATATATATATATATATATATATATATATATATTATATATATATATATATATATATATATATATATGTGTGTGTGTGTGTGGTGTGTGTGTGTGTGTGTGTGTGTGTGTGTGTGTGTGTGTGTATATATATATATATATATACATATATATATATATATATATATATATATTATATATATAATATATATATATTTATATATAAATATATATATATTGTATATGCATATATATATTATATATATATTATATATATATTATATATAATATATATAATATTATATATATATATATATATATATATATATATATATATATATATGCATATATATGCATATATATATATATATTATATAATATATATATTACATATATATATGTAAATATGTATATATATGCATACACACACACACACACACATATATATTGTCATAAATCTCTCAGTCTCTCTTTATGACAGAGAGAAAGAAAAAAAGTAGAGAGAGAAGAAGATAGATAATGATAGATAAAGAGAGAGAGAATGAGATGGGAAGAGAAGAGAAGAGAGAGAGAGAGAGAGAGGACAGAGAGAAATGAAGAGAATAGAAGAGAGAGAAGACAAGACAAGCGAAGAGAGAGAAGACAAGAGAAGAGAAGAGAGAGAAAAGAGAAAAGAGAGAGAGAGAGAGAAAAAGAGAAAACAAAGAGAAACGAGAGAGCGAGAAAGACCAAGAGACCGCGCGCGTCCAATAGCAACAAGCAGAAACACACACACACAAAAAAAAAAGAAAAGAATAAAAGAGAGAAAAAAGAAATGCACTTTGAACACCGCATCAGCCATTCCACAGCGGGCCAGACACCCGGTAATTTCCAGATGCTATACCCCCTCACCCCCCCCCCCCTCTCCCTCCTCCCTCACCCCCATCGCACCCCCCCCCCACCCTCACCCTCCTTCTAGCCAATGGGGAGACCGGGAGAGTTACCGGGCAGGGGTGGGGGGGGGGGAGGGTAGGTGGGTACGGGTGGGTAGGTGGGTTAGAAGATCGTATACATACTGATATATCCCCTCGAGGGCGTGGGGAGGGGAGGGGGAAGGAGGAGGAGGGGGTGAGGAAGAGGAGGGGAGGAGGGGAGGAGGAGGGGGGGGTGACAAACCGGGGATGGGGGAGGAGCTAATGGGTAGTTACCTGGAGGAGAGGGAGGGGGTGGTGACGAACCGGGGTTGGTGTGGGGGGGGGGAGGGGAGGGGACTAAAGGGTGGTTGCATGGGGGGGGAGGGCTAAAGGGTGGTTGCATGGGGGGGGGGGAGAAGGGGGGGAGGGGGGGGGGGAGAACTGGCAGGGAGATCGTATATATAAAGCAAAGGGCCGGGCGCTTTACGAGGTAGTTCCGACGCAGAAGCTCGCCGTATCGTCCTTTTTTCCGGTTTACGAAGATCGTCGTTAGAGTGAGTGTTTTCTCGAGTTTTGTTTCGATTTTGACTTTTGTTGTTACGTTCGTATTTGTTTCGAAGCCTTATGTGTATATTATATATATATATATATATATATATATATATATATATATATAATATATATATATATGTGTGTGTGTGTGTGTGTGTGTGTGTGTGTGTGTGTGTGTGTGTGTGTGTGTGTGTGTGTGTGTGTGTGTGTGTGTGTGTGTGTGTGTGTGCGTGTGTGTTATAGATATATATACACACGCACACACATACATACACATATATACATATATACGACACACACATGTATATACATACACACATATATGCACGTGTGTGTGTTTGTTTATGTGTGTTTGTATAATGTAATATATATATATATATATATATATGGATAGATAAATATATGTGTATATACTTTATATATAAGTATATTATATATATATATATACATATATATATATATATATATATATATATATATATATATATATATATAATTAACACGTATACAGATTGACTGATAAATATGTATAAATGTATATATTTGCATGTATATTGCACAGACACCCATGTGTGTGTGTATTATATCATTAACTGATACCACGATTAAAAACAATAGCTAAGAATACAATGCTACAACGACTACACCCACTACAAAACCTACCAAACTGATTAAAAAAAATTGTCTATCAGCATAAACATCAGTCTAATGTTGACACGGGAGTTAGACGTACTTCCAGCCCTTTGACCATCAGTCTAATGTTAACGTACTTCCCAGCCTTTCCCTGACAACATCGCATTAAACATCAGTCTAATGTTGAAACGGGAGTTAGACGTACTTCCCAGCCCTTTCCCTGACAACATCGCATAAACATCAGTCTAATGTTGACACCGGAGTTAGACGTACTTCCCAGCCCTTTCCCTGACAACATCGCATAAACATCAGTCTAATGTTGACACCGGAGTTGTACGTACTTCCCAGCCCTTTCCCTGACAACATCGCATAAACATCAGTCTAATGTTGACACGGGAGTTAGACGTACTTCCCAGCCCTTTCCCTGACAACATCGCAACATCTCTTGCGAAAGACAAATGACAGACACACCTGCGGTATAATCAACATCATCACCAATTCAACACCTTATCTCATCATTCATCTTCTCCCTCCTCGGTTTATTCTTTGCCTTCCACTGTTGTTGTTTCTCTTGCTATCTCTCTTTTGCCTACTGTTACCCATGCTATTTCTGTTTATTTCCCTCCACTGTTTCCCTTGGTGTCTGTTTTATTCCACTCTTGCTATCTCTCTTTCGTCCACTGTTACCCATGCTATTTCTGTTTATTTCCCTCCACTGTTTCCCTTGGTGTCTGTTTTATTCCACTCTTGCCATCTCTCTTTCGTCCACTGTTACCCATGTTATTTCTGTTATTTCCCTCTCTGTTTCCCTTGGTGTCTGTTTTATTCCACTCTTGCTATCTCTCTTTCGTCTGCTGTTATCCATGACATTTCTCTTTTTTCCCCTACTATTTCCCTTGGTATCTGTTCATTCCACTCTTGCTATCTCTCTTTCGTCCAGTTATCCAAGCTATTTCTGTTTATTTCCCCCCCTGCTATTTCCCTTGGTATCTGTTCATTCCACTCCAGTTGTTAGTCTTGCTGCCTCTGTTTCCATCTCTATTAACGAGTCGCTTTTCTCTCTCCTCAGATGCTACGTCACGTGGTCCAGCTGGCAGTGGTCTTGGCCGTCGTGTGCCTGTGCGTGGCCCTCCCCCAGCCCCAGACGACCCAGGGCAGGCAAGGACAGGGCCAAAACAGGTTCTTCTTGGGCAACCTTCTCGGCGCTGCTCAGGGTGCCTTCCAGGGCGCTGTGGCCGGCTTCGCTAATCCTTATGGAGGTTACAACAGGCCTTTCGGTGGCTACGGCGGCTATGGTGGCTACGGTGGCTACGGAGGCTACGGAGGCTATAACCCTTATGGCTACAACTACTATGGCTAAGGACTGCGCGGTGGCTGGACTTCTGATCCCTACCTTTCGCTGAACATTTGTACCGTATTTCTACTTTCAATAAAATTGAATTGTATTTTAAGACCATTTATCCACACGAATATATATCGTAGTGAAATCTAAGTAAAAAAAAGATTAATAATACATATTACTTGTTACTGCAAATACTGTATTTTCTGCTTACTATATTTCATGTTCAGTGGATTGCTGAATACTGTCTCGTCTTGAAGTTCAAGGTCGAGTAAATTTACAGATTCAAGTAGACTGATGAGGAATTTCAAACTGACTCAAGGATAGTCTCAGATACATTCATTACGTACAGTAGTCTTAGGAAGATTCATTCAAAAGTCGAATAATAAGAACCATTTCGAAAATACTCTC